CCTTTCAGGTCCCCGGGAGACAGTGGCCAGAGTGAGTACACAGAATTGCCCCAGAAGCTAGGATCGCTTTCCTGCCCCAGACCTAACCTGATCCGATTTGGACCGCAAGGCTAAATGTTTTCAAAAGCTTTTTGAGCGCAAAATCTGGATGTTCTGCTTCATCTTTGCTGAAATTAAATGGCGCCTTGCACAAGAGGAAGGCATTGCCTGGAAATTCAGTATGAATAAATGAATACGGGACCTTCCAAAGACAGAAATCTTTGCAGCCTGAACCCTTGCTTGCAACACCAGTGTTGAAAATCCTCAACCCTACGTATTCATTCCCATACAAATTACATATGGAGCAGCAAAAAATATAAAGAATTGGAGAAAAAGGCATCACAGAATGATCTTTTTTTCTTCATTTATTTTGACATCTGTAATTTAGTTTCCATTATTCCTGGTAACATATCCTAATGCAACAGGAGACATGCATGGCACGCTTTGCTAAAAGCACCAGAGCTTTAATCATACAAGACCCCAAAGCCACCTCTGCTAGTCAATCATTACTGGAAAGACAAGGAAAGAACAGCTTTTCAAAAACACACACACATCCCTTGGGACAAATTAGGAGGCTTACTAATTAAGCTGTTCTTGCTAGGTTATGATCCAGAATGCATTAAAGTCAAAGGAAATTATCTCTTTTGACTCTGAAGGATTTTGCTGCCTCCACTGGGTCGGAGTTTATTTGGGGGTTTTGGCGCAATTGTTATACATTGCTGGTAATGAGAATCCAGTGTAATAATATAGTGATTTTTTAAAAAGGGTGCAGTTATTTACTCATCCAAAATAGCACCCTTGATGTAGAAAGTCACAAGGCAGTTTACAATCATAAGCAAGCAAAGAAGAAGTTTGGGTTCTACAGTTGGTCCAAACCAGCAGCTTTCCACGCAGGAGTTGCAAGCCAGAATCCCAAATACTTTCCAGATGTGTTTTGATTAAATGCTATTATCCTTAGGCAATGTGGCAGGCTGGGAATGATGGGAGCTGGAGTCGCAACACATCTGAGGGCATTGGTTTGGGAAAGAGTGCTTTCAGCAAAGAAGCCCCAGCCGGGGCTGCTGGAAGATTGAACTATTAGGAGATTTCCATGTACCAGGGGACAGGACACACCAAGCTGTGCAAGATACATTGGATCTCTCCACATCTCACCCTTCTTCAACATTTTCCATCCAGGTCCTTGTCTTTCCCTGCTTTCTGCAAATTGGAACAATATACCGGGAGGGCTTTTTGGTGTGTGGGGGGTTGTTTTTAATTTGAGTTTTTGTTTGCTAGCCATTAATGGGTGCTACTGCTGTGAATTTGGTTGTTTAAAATAAACTCACGAGAGTGTCCTTCCTAACATCAAGGAATTTTAAAGGCTGATCATGGATTTTTAGAAAAATGTACATTCTTCACATACCAACAGCTCCACAGACAGATTTATATTGGCCTGAAGTAAATGGAGAGGAAATGGCCATATTAGGTCCAATTCCTGCGGTTTCCCAGAATGTTTTTTGGAAGTGCTGGTTTATGCTGCTCAATAGCAACAAACCTACATCTAGAAAGATAATTTTGGTTAGATCTAGAGTTTCCCAAACTAGTCATGACTCATTTAAATCCCATTGCTTTTAATAGGTCTAAGTACAGATAAGCGTAGTTTTCACCTTGTATTTTACAATGCAAGTACTGTAATTGGTTTTGGTTTTTGAGTTGCACTTGGGCAAAAATGCAACGGTGGCTTTCTTCCTGCTACCTTAGTTAAGTTGAGGATAAGGAAGTTCTGTTCCCACATTTTAAATTGGATGATGTTTCTTTTCTATGAAAGTAGACCTCCATTCCTTTCCAGGCCCCCTTATTTTTTTAGTACTGACAGGAAATCCAGTCCTTGGTGATGGGCTGTTGTACTCTTTGGTTAAATTTAGCCATATTATGGCGAACAGTCTTGGGAAAACTTGTGCTCTGCCAATTTATCTGATGCCTTTTGGAAACAGCCCATGTTAACCGCTGGGGCTAGGGCTCTTGGCACTGAATCCTAAAATTAAGATTGGGATCTCCTGTTTGCCATGATTTACAGCAGAGGACTGTGTGCACTTTTACGTTCAAGTCACATTAAAACAAATTTTTGAGGAGCCTCTCTTTAGCCAGCCAGCACAAATATATTTGCTAGGATCTGGACTGCTCAACTGATCTTGTATTCCAGCAGCAAACAACACACAAAATATGAGGATCTGAGCAGTGATTATCAAGGACAATCTTTTGGTTCTGTTCATGAAGTGTACAACAAATGAATTGGTCACCTTCTCCCAGAAGGCTAATGAAGAACTGGTGTCCGAAGAAAACAGTGTTTTCCATGTCAAAACTTTCTAGTTTCAGAGTAACAGAAGACATGAATCAAGCACTACAGACAAGGTGTAGCACGGAAGCCTCTGGCAGTTACAGATTTCACCTGCTTCCCAAGACACTGGAATTAAACTGGGTTAGACGATGCAATGAAAGCTTTAATTTTCTCAGGCCTGTTGTCTATTCACAGGAACTCGACGGAATTGCACTTCAGAGTGAATGTTTGAACTATACAGAAAGAAAGAGAAACGACAGCTGAAAGACTGGGAATTACATCAAGGCAAATGGCTTGTTTCATGGCATCCTTCCTTGCTGTACGGATCCCAACTTTTTAGTAAAAAACACATGATTTGACATCACTGGCTTGGGGGTTCAAGGAAAAGTGATCATAGATTACATTCTACTTTGCTTTCTGGAGCAAAAGGCAGCTGAGACTTTTGAGTCATCTGCCAATTTTCTTAAGGACGAAGGGCCGTTACTCCATCATAAACCTTGATCTCAGGATTAAGGAAAGTGTGTTACATCAAAACTGCATTTGGCAGATATTCATTGAGGTAGAACTTCTAAATCTGCTTTGAGTGTAATTTGAGAATGCAGTGGCATTTCTAGAGTACTGTAGAAAGCTCCAAAGCTAAACTCCCTTAAGCACCCTAACTTCATGTTTTGACCTGATCACGTCCAGAAAGTTTTATGACCAATGCTGCTTGTATGTGCCTTGGCATTATCCCTTTGGATCCTGGAAGTAGAACTCCAGACGGATGGCCTGTATTTAAAACACTCCTATTAGATTGCTCTCTGGCAAACCTCAAGGAGAATCCATCGCCGAAGAATCCTCTTCCACTAGATAATCACTCTTGGAAATGGGCAATTATTCCTAAACTGAATCTAGATTCTTTCAAGATACCGTTTCTGTTTTTCTTATAAGACCTCACAAATTGCTGTTCTGAAATCCGGGGGGAAAATCATCCTAGTTCAGCATCCTTTCCTTCACAGAAAAAACAGATGCCTTTGGATAGACTATCAACAGAGACACTGACTGGAATCGACTGCCCACATTACAACTTTCTGGTCACTGGTTGAACGACTTCCTACTTCTGAACATGGAGATTCTACAAAATAGTCTTTGCAGACCTTTTAACTGCATACCCTGTTAAACCTTCTAAGCGAGTGCTGGCATTAGCCTGTCTTGGGGCATTGGGTTTCAAAAATTAATTGGGTGGCACTTGAAGAATGCCTTCCTTTTGTTTGTCTTCAATTTACTGCCCACTGATTTCATGGAATGCCCTAATTGGGCAGAGAAAGAAAATTCCTGCAATTTCTCACCAGATGTCTGGTGGGAGAAAGGAGAGGGGGGTTTCACTGTATGTTCTCCTGGGGTAGACATCTTTCCCACCCTGTCTTGCAGTTGGGTTCACTATGGGCACATGGTCTTTTTTTTCTTGAGTTGCCCCCTTCCTTTCTTCCAGGAATAAGAGTCACAAATATGTTGGCACCTTGCTCCAGTTTTGGATCATCAATATTGTCCCAGATGTGTCATTCTGGGCACTGGTGGGATAGAGAAATATCATAGGGAATACATGTGGGAAGCCTACAGGAAGTATTTTAACCCCTCTCTCCCCATATGTTGTATGTAAGCCATGCAGCCATTTGTAGTTCTTCCTTCTCAGTTAATTTATGAGTTTAATTGCACAGGTGAGCCAAACTTATAAAGAGCAAGGACACAACAGAAAGAAGGAGAGGGTGAAAGGGCAACTGATAGGAAATAGCACCCAACTGGCTCTGTTGTTTAATTTGGAGTTGGGTCTTAGCTGTGTTGTGAACCTTCCATGTTTTCTCACCGCTGGCTATGCTGACCGATTGGCCACCCATTTCCCCACTTCTGTTCTAATGGGGAAGCAGTTACAGATGGAAAACACTAGGGAGTTGGGTAAGGAAAGGGGTGGGGGTCTGTATTGAAGTTGAGACTGTAGACAAGATCTTGATAAAAGATTTTTTTTATTTTTTTACATGGGTCTTGAGTTCTTAGAGAAGCTGCGAAAGTGATGCACAGATTGTATAAATGCAATAATGTCAGTAACAGGAGCTAGTCTGTTTAGGTGGCAAGGCAGGTAACCTGAATGTTGGACAACCTTACCCTTGCCCACTCAACCTTGCCAGCTGTGAGGGGATAAATTGTTTCTCCCTCTGGATGCCTGGATAAGAAGGTCTGTAAGGTTCTCTTGCTGCTGGCAACAGCTGTGCTGGACCTTATGTTCTGCTCATAGACAAAGGACTCCTGGAATAATTAGTCTCTTCCATTTCTTGAACTTCCCAGAATCATCTTCACATCCTGCTTGTACTTAACAAACATCCAGCATCTAGGCTTCATTAAAAACACTAAACGTTTAAGTTTTAAGCAAGATGCAGCTTTGCTCATCCCCTGGGCTTAGAAGATAGAAGGTTTGGGGGTATTTTGGTTCAGACCTGTCTGAATGCCCTGTCTGAAGTAACATGAGAAAAACATGCCATGCTACGACAGCAGACATGCTGAATGTGATGTTTATAAGGTTTCCTGTATGCCTTTGTTCATTGAGTGGATGGTTTATGACCTAGACAGGCATACACAGCGAACATTAAACGTGAACCCTACCTTTTTGCAGGTGAGCCCAGTGCACCAAAGCTGGAAGGTCAGGTGGGAGAGGACGGCAACTCCATCAAAGTGAACCTTATCAAGCAAGATGATGGTGGCTCTCCCATCCGGCATTATCTCATCAAATATAAAATTGTAAGTTAGACAAGGTCTGAGTTGGCATCTTAGGGGCTTACTTTTTTCAATTGATTAGTAATAGTAATTAAATAAAGTTTTGCAGATTGGAGAAAACAATTCTTAACAGGGGAAAAAACAAGTTTTTATAAAATGCATACAGGCTTATGTGAAAGTATTCTAAAACGGTCATTTTTGTCTAGCTTTTAAAATTGTTTCTGCTAAAATGTTACTGTAGAAACAGTGTTCCCAGTAGAATGTCTTCCACTGATTAAAAATGAGCCCAGATTTAATCCTGGCTTGTCCAGGTAGAGCTCTGAAAGGCATGTGTCTAAGATCCTTGGGAACTGCAGCCAGTCTGTTTAGAGACCAAGCTGAAGGAACTGGCCTGGCAATTCTACTTTTATTGCGTGTTTTCGTTCTGCTGCTTTTGGGCAAGGTACTTAGGATCGGGCAGGAGTAGAAAGCAATTGCTCAGAAAGGGCTTGCCTTCTTGTGAATTGAGACGGACACGAACTGCCGGTTTGGCGATTGGTCCCAGTCCGTGCCTGTTAGAGGAGATGGGGCTGGGAAACCCCAGTTTGTCTGATAAAACTAGCACCAATCACCAGACCAGCAATCGGTGCCCATCTCTAGTTGTGAAGAATGCACCTCTTTCTTTAAACCACAATGGCTAAACTAGCTTGCTTCCTTTTTCTATTCCCTCCCGCCCTCGCCCCGCTACTGCTCTCCCCCCCTCCCGCCGCTCTTCTACAGAAGCATTCCTCTGATTGGAAACCTGAGATTCGACTCCCTTCCGGAAGCGACCATGTCATGCTCAAGTCTCTTGACTGGAATGCTGAGTATGAAGTCTACGTGATTGCTGAAAACCAGCAAGGGAAATCCAAGCCTGCACAGTACACTTTTAGGACCTCTGCACAGCCGACCATCATCCCAGGTAGAGCAGTAACCAGCTTCCCGTCATTGTTTTCTGCTTGAAATTAATGCAACCCAGTGCCCCATCCCTTAATGTGCTTGAGTTGGGGTGGGGGTGGGGGAGTCGAAAACACTGATAAATCACCAAACTCCTCGGGAACTTGCTTGCTTACTGTCATCCTCATAACCAGTTACCCATCTAAAGCTTAATTACTCAGCCCTGTACATACCAAACATGGTAGGGCCGCCTGTGGTATGTACAATCTGAATGGTTTTCCAGTCCTTTCCTCAATACCCTTGAAATGAGTTCCCAGCAGTCCACTGAGGGCGAGAGTGCAATCCATTTCCTGTGCTTTAGTTTCGCTTCTTGAGATTCCCTTTGCAACGTGCTTCTCCTGCAACGGCTGGTATTGCAACGAGTGGACGAAGCATTGGTCGGCCACAAATTGAATGTGCCTTTGTCTTTTCCAATCCAAGATACCAAAGGAATATCTCTATGAAGCAGAAGACGCACTTGAGAAATGAGTGCTTTTCTTCTTTACCCCCTTTTCACAACTTCCGGCTGTCTTTCACGTTGGTCATTCCCAAGACACAGCTGCAGGAGATGCAACATTAATAGTCAACAACTGCATTTCCTGCGTAACGAATTTGCTCGCTTGCTTTTCATCAGATAGAGGCTATTTATAAAACTAAGAAGATCCATGGAGCCGTTTCCTTGTAAACATAAATGGTTTGAACTCTCCTTTCGCAATGCCTATAGAAAAAGTGGGTGTTTGGCAGAAGCCAGATGGGCTCCGAAATGTTTGCAGCAGGAAACGTCTGCCTGGGGATTTAACAAAAATTCTTACACTGGCAACAGTTGAGGGTAAACATCATTGCAACCACCGAATAATTCACTGTGCCATTCCCCTCTGTACTTTAGGACTTGAGGAAGTTGTTTCTCAGTTAGATGTAACTGTTTAGCATATAGCATTCTCAGTTGCTCAGTAAATTGTGAAGCATTTTCTCCCTGGGACAGCAACTGTGTGGATACTGGCTAATTAGTCCAAACCATGAATCGATTTGCTACTTGGTTTGGAAGCCAGGATGGTGAGCGATGGGGTTTGAGGGCCCATTTAGCAGCTGCATCCCCAAGAATTTGGTACTCACCACCCATCTAGTAATCAAAGTTGTCTGTACTCGGTTCTATTAAAACCAAACCAAACACCAGTCATATATTTCATAGTCTACACCAAGGCAGCTCCGTTAAAGACAGTGCCAAGAAGAACTGGATTGCATGGTACAAATTAAACCCAAGTGCTTGGCTCCTGGTGCATAATTCATTTTGGTTTGGGTCATGAAGGAAGTAGGCAGTGAACTAGAGAGAATGTTCCAGCCTTCACTCCACATCCATTATAAGCCTGGTACATCCCCTGCTCTGCAGCCTTTCATGGGTAGCGTGAGGTTCTGAAACAAATGAAGCATCATGTAGACCCCCCCCCTTTGTGGACAAAGGGCTTGGCCCTTTTCTCTTTTGCTTTAAAATGGGCTGAGGTAGGCACTTACTGCCATTTGCCATCTAACGAGTTCTACTCTACTAAACAGAATCTCATTAATGAGGACACTCAATAACATTCTAAAATGACTGATGTTCCATTTCACCATGCCAGTGACTCTAATGTTTCTTACGTGTCATCTACTTGAACGACATTTTTAATAACTCACCCTAAGAGATGGATAGGAGAGGGGAAGAGTTGTCAAGCATATTCTCCCATTCAAATTTGTTTGGAAAAAAGAAAAAGAAAGAATCTGCATCGTTGTAATCAGAGACCCCCTTGTACAATAGCTGGTTTTCTGCCCTTCTCCATTATTGTTGGATCAGGGCAAGAGGGTGTTTAGAAGGTGATGGATCTAAATTAAGGTTTAATATTAATGTCTTGAATTTCAACCCCTAAACTCTCAAAAGTCAAAGAGGAAACCTGAAGAGTCCAAAATGCACGCCTTTGTCTTGTCTGTTGGAAAATTCTGCTAAGATCTTGAATCTGAGCCTAATTTTTGTTTTGGTTACGTCTTATGACGCAGCTCCTTTTGGGCTAAAAAGGAGTCGATAGTAGCTTTGAAGAAAGACTAGTGGGATTTAAAAAAAAACATTGTCTATCTCTGTGGGTTAGCCTGGGGGGTGCGAGGAACCCTCAGTGGCTGAGGACTAAAACCAGGGAAGTGGCTCGGCCCCCCTTTCACAGTGTGGATGATGCCACTACTGTTGCCTCTTCATTTGGCTCTCACCTCTAGCGCACAAGGTGCGACACGGAACATTGAAGGGCCTGTTTCTGTCCAAAGTAGGTTTGCATTACTCAGATGAAATTTGAATTTGTGTAAGGAAGTCCTGAAGCGAATTAGGAGCTCATGGAATAGAAGAAGCGAGCCGAAGGGCCCTGGTCATCCAGTTAAGAGCCCCGGTCCACCAGGGTCTTAATGGACAAGAGGAGAATGTTTGCCTAACCCAGTTGAGGAGGAGGGAAGGCCACCGGTGCTCCAGGCACATTGCTGGGAGCGAGCAGACTGGAGGAGGGAAGGTGCATAGAGGAGAGTTTCCCCTGGTAAAACTGTGTCCACATTGCTTGTCTGAGCTTAGGGGAGAATGGCGCCTCCGGTAACTCTGGAGACTTTTGGTCTTCCGAGGGCCACTTGAGATTCTTTAACTCAGCTTCCTCCTGCTTGCCAGTGTCTAGTCTGGCGTTGGCCCTTGGTTCGGTGGTCGGCCTTCTTCTGCCTTCTTGTCCGGGAACACCTGTTAGGAATTCTTGTACTCTTCTAGACGTCATGTGTGTCTTGCCGTGCTTCTCAAGAGCCAGGCCCGGTCGATTGTCTCCAGAGGCAGCGAGAGGGAGACCAGTGCTCAAGGATCAGTCCCCAAGCAGAGGCCAGCTTCACGAGGAGGGAGCAATGGGGGTTCCCCTCTGTCTTTGTCAGGATGTCAGAGTCCTCCTTGGCCAGATCCTGCCAGCTCATTTCCCCTCTCCTCCTCAACCTGAGGATCCTGTGTTGCCTTGTTGGTCTCAGTGTCATTTGCTTGCTCAACCCACCCTCCCCAAATTTCTCCTTGCCAAAAGCTTCCGAAATGAGCCTTACCATTAGCATCGCTGCCGCTGCTGCCGCTGCTCTGTTCTTCTAACCTTTTGGACATTTTTTTAATTTATACTAAGTTAAAGAAACCTTATAAATTCTTATTGTTTTCTATATTTATGACCTATTTTTTTTCTTTTTATCTATTCTCTCTCTCTCTCTCTCTCTCTCTCCCCCCTCTTGAATCCTTTTCCCCCTTGTTCCTTTCCTGTGTCCACCATCATACATGTCACTTGGGACCCCAATGGAAACATCTACATTGCTACATGCACCAATTTTTTGTTTGTTTGTTTTAATAACAATGATGGTGCCGTTTTTCTAAATCAACCAAAACACCCACTCATTTTCTCTCCCCCCCACCCCCGTTTTGGGATTAATTTTTGGTGGCTGCAGCGACCTTAGGAAGTCCAGCCGCCCCCTTTCCTTTTCTCTCGTTGCTCTTCTCTGCGACAGCTCTGCTTTTGCTCTGTTAGGAAACGTTCACAAACAGCATCAGCATCAAAAGGAGATTTATTACCGAAGACCCTGGTGTTCTCGCAGAGGCCAGAAAGCAAGATAGGATTCCTTATTCCCAAGGACTGCATCTGTTCTGGGGGTCAGGAAATAAAGCGCAGAACAAAAGAGATCAATATTTTTTTTTTCTTGAGAGAGAGAGCTTTGCTATTTTGTAATGAGGAAGGGGAAGAAGACTGGGCAACTTTTTTTTTCTGTTTTGTGCATACGCCCCATAGAAAAAGACCCCCACCTCCCCCACCACCACCTTCTCCCATTTTTAGCTACTGGATGCAAAAAAACAAATCCGATGGGTTATACTTTTCAAATTGCAAGGAGACAGAAGGTTGTTACTGCTGCCAGCCTTCACTGGCTTTCCCGCATATCACAGTTTGTTCATGTTTATGCACGGTAAAAGTTTCAGAAAGAAGATGACGAAAACAAGGTGGCACAACATCCAAAACATGTTTGCAGATTTCCCGTGCTGATGTGACTGAACTTACTTAGGGGAGATGCAAAGCAAGCCTTTCTGTCTTGCTGCGTCGGTGAGATTTTTACAGTTGTCCTTAGGATAGAGCATGACTCAGGATGGTGCTCCGCAGTGTACATTCCTTAGAAACCCATGGGATCTCCTTGTCCTTGGTCTAGTCAGCTATCAGCCTCCCGTCTTTTCCCTCCAACCGTTCCCATTCCACTAAATCCCCAGTGTATGGTGATGATGAGCCAGAGTTCTGGGTGGCAGAGTGGACTGCGGTGCTTCAGGCTGGCAAGACTCCAGGCCAAAATCCAACTGCCAACCACAACTCAAACAGACTTTTGAATCATCAGATTTACAAAAAAATATCTGTTCACCAATCAGCCATTGATTCAAATCGGTGTACCTGTAACTTGCCGTGTATGGAGCTTCCCTGAAAACGGGTGGGAGGGGGGATAATAGCACAGAAGGAAGGTTGAGCTGGGTCCCTAATTAGCTAATTTTTCAACTTACAGAACATCATTTGACACAGGAAAACACCTTTTCCCTCCTGCAGTCCGATTTGGCCCAGGAGACTCTAGCGCCACCTCTGAGGTCTACCCCCTTGTTCTTCTGCAGTGGTTCCCGACTTTGGGACCCCAGATGTTCTTGGGCTAAAACTCCCAGAAGCTTTCACTGCTAGTTTTTCCAGCCAGATTTCTGGAGGTTGTAGCCCAAGAACATCTGGGGATCGAAGGTTGGAACCTACTGTTCTGCTGGATGGACAAGACTCTGGATCAGTCAATAAATGTTCAGAAAAGTGCATTTCTATGAATTCAGCAGCACTTCATGCTCTCAGTGACGTCAGTTGCAGCCCATAGTGGTGCCCCTCAGAATGCCAAGTGGCTCTTCCCAGGGAGAAGCCAATATTTTCCACACTAGCTGAGTCTTTGTGTCAAACTTCTTTTTAA